GTCCGGCGGGCAGCAGCGCGGCTGCCTGGGTGCCGCCCCGGGGGGAACGCTGCCGGGGGCCGGGCGGATTTTGGATGGGTGACGATGCTTTTGTGTCCTGTGCCGGATGAACCTCCATTCCGCGCGTGCTTGACTGAGGTGTGTCCGTAGCTCAGATGAGATAAATGTATTGCTGCTTGCAACATCCCATTAAGAACCTTGCCCTGAGAACTCGCTATCAGCTCGCGATCTGGGAGATGTGAAGGGCTGAGCCTGCTGCCTGCTGCCTGCCTGCTGCCTGCCTGCACGCAGGCAGTAAATGGCCGAGGAGGAGAATTCCCCTCACTAGCTTAAAAATTAAAAGGCTAAACTTAAAATGACTGCTTCTTGTTTTACAGTGCGACCTTTCACCGTGGGCAGTGACAAGAGAAGAAGTGGATCGGTTCAGAAAAAAAAATGGCTTTTCTGGTTGGGTGGAGACGTCTGTCAAGGAAAACAAGAATATTAATGAGTCCATGAGGTAGGCACAGTGACCAGTGATGCATCTGAGAGTTAATTCCCTCTTTCAGACACGGCCCTCCTTGAGGTGAGGGGAGATGCTGTCGGTAAGTAACAAATAGCAGCAATAACCTGCAAGTAAACCTCCCGAAGGGAAACTGAATTCTGAAAGGTTGGAAGTTTTTCCTCTCTGGTGTGCTTTTGGAAACAGAAATTCTTTGAGCAATACCAGGGATGCTTGCGCATATGCTGGACGCTGCCAGGAGGATGGGAATTCTTCTGCGAGGATAGTATAAATTCTTTTTGTGATGTACCAGTCCTTTGATGGAGAATTTGGCCTCTTCTGAGAGGTCTCAGAGCGGGCGTTCACACCTCAGCTTGGGGCTGGGCAGCTGGTGCCCAGACACCCAGCCGGTGTCTGTGTCCCAGTCCGAGACAGGGCAAAGGGGAGGCGGTTGCAGTAGGTTGGTAGTTATCCGGTCACTGCAGAGTCTTCTGACGCTGCCAGGTAGTAGCCATGGTGCTGTCGTCAGTGCTATGAGGTTCCTTAACCTGAGTGTTTAGTCCTTAAACTTCTGGAGTTTTGCGTCCTTGTAGAATGAACTGCTCTTTCTTTTTTGTACTGCTGAAAAACTGCGTGGCCCAATGCTGCTTGTTTTAAAAAGGAAACACCAAAACACACTCACGTATGTTTGTCTTGTAGAGTCCTGATTGAGAAGATGATGTCCTCATCCACTGGTGATGGAAGTTCCTCTGCTGCCGGGAGTGGGGATTATATTAACATAAAAGAGACGTCCCCACCGGGCTGGGCTTGCTGTTAGACGCACTGACTGCACCATCTGCCTTGGGTCCAGCAGCAATGTCCTTTCATTATTACCATAATTTTTTTCCTAAACTGGCTGTCACTGGTTTTGGGTTGGTTTTGTTTTTTTTTTACATGATCATGAACTGTCTTCTGTTTAGTGTGTATCTGTTCTCAGCAGAGCATTGCTGCAGTGACTTGGAGTGAGGAGTGGAAAGAAGAGAGGAGTGGGAAGATTCCTCTTTTTTTCTAGCACAGCAGCAACTGGAAGCTCTGCTGCCAGTAACGTAGTGTGGTCCGTGTTCAAGCACGTGGCTTGGATTAATTTTTTTTTTAAATTTTGAGCACTTCATCTTCTGACATATGACGGCCTGTCTCAGGCAGGGCGAAGGATGTGGAAGGTATATTTTTAATATTGCTGCACCTTTTATCCCCCACCGCCTGCTCCCACCATACTCAGAGGCACCACTCCAAAGCGTTGCAGTGACTTCCATTCGGGGCACGCGGAGTTCAAGCCATCTCTCTGTGCCTGTGGATCCCCGCGGTGGGATTACAGCAAACTCCTTCCTTCATGCTCTGGAACTACAAAAACCTCTGCTTACGCGTCCCGGAGAGACCAACACCTCTCATCACTGCCACTAACCGCCCTTACGCTGGGAAGCCAGGTGTGGTTTAGCACCGTGTCCCATGTAACCAGACCTGCAAAATCACCGGTGTGAATTTGAGAACCGGTGTGGCACAGCCTTTAACTTTCCTGTGCGCTGACTGTGGGGCGTAACAGCAGACACCTCACATTTGGGTCAGGAATTGCCCAGTTGCCTCCTGTTCCTCCCTCCTCGCTCACCCTCTGTCTAGCACAATCCTCCGTATTCTCTTCTGCTGCCACTTTATTAGGGCGCCGAGAGCCGAAGGAGGAATAGGTTGTAAACTCCTTTGTATGCGAGAACAACGGTCCTTTTCACTCGTCGAACACCCTCTCTCCGACCATCTCAAACAGCTTTGCAATTGCTGATGAATTGCCTTCCCCGCAACGATTCCGTAGGGATGGAGCGAATTTGGTAGCCGGGATGGAGCGGGGAAAGCAGCGCTCTGCATGCCCACCCACTGGTTTTAGTGGTGCCGGGGGGACGCAAAGGAGAGGACTTTGCGGGAGAAAAGGAAGCGAAGAGAACCGCTCCTCGCTTGCCTCGTGACGCCCGCTTTCCCCGGCAGATCCCCACGTGCTCCTTGCTGAGAACGGTTCTTGCCAACAGCAACAAAAAAATGGGTAAAAGCACTCTTAGATAGTTATCTCTGAAGTGTTAACAGGAAACTCACTCCGCAGGGCTGGAGCTATACAGCGTTGGATGCATTTTATATAAGTGCGCTATGCCGTAGAATGGTCTTGCCCATGTTTTGGGTTAGGATTTGAAGAAGTGGTCTTCAATGATGTTTTTCCCTTCTCGAGTAGTTTAATTTGAAAACGGGGCTATAAA